GTTTTAAAGATTTCTTTCCGAAACAAACACAGGCACAACATATACTATGTTGCGTTAAACAGCTAAACAACTGATTAAGCATCCTAAACAAAAGGAGAAAATAGGTCTAATAATAACAATCAGTGGTGGAGAATAACAAAGTACTTTTACTTTTGAGGTACTTGTAATTGTATTGAGTCTTATCTATTTCTGCTACTGAAGACTTTCACTCCATGAAAGTTCAGAGGGAAATTTTACTGCACTACAGTACATGAATCTGATATATTTTAATTAAATAGCAATCACATGATCAGCTTATAAAATATGATGGATTTTTACAAACAACCCAACAGTATATAACATATAATAAGCCCCAGCTCAACCAGCTACAACATTGTAACAGTAATATAATATGATTAACACTGAATGGGGCCTTTTGGCATTCTGAGTCCACTTACTGTTGCGGATAATACCTTTGTACAGTTAAATTACATAAATTACACTTAGGTATAATTTTGAATGCCGCAACATTAAATGTGAGATTATATTTTAACACTGGGGAATGCTGCTAACCGAAACGTCTTGGTAAAAACACTTTTATTGTATGCACGGAAATCCACGATCCACTGAGCATTTGATAAATAACAAGTGTCACTTCACCGCCATCATGTGGCAGTAAGGATGGATTACACAATATGAACCAAACATGGCGGAGTTATTTTCGTCTTTTGCCTGAAACGTTACTTCCGATGGGATTTACATTAAATCTATGTGATGTATCAAAAACAATTTCCTTTTGCACGCGGCTGAATCTGTTGCACAGCATCAGAGTATTGATGTATGTATACCTTCCAAGATACAAGTGCCGCGGACTCTTTTGACGAATTTGAACCACAGGGTGTCTTTGAAGGGCTCTGCCAGCTGCACGTCGCCGATCCACAGACACGGTTCATGTGTTGACAGCAGGAGCTTATGTGAGGCTCTCATCTGAACCGCTCCGCGCGGGTCCCAGTTGCCCATTTCCTCACGCGAGCCCAAAATATAAACCTTTACATCCGAAGACTCCGGAGTGAGAATGACACCGAACCTGAATAACATTGCTGCCACCTTAACCAAATGATGTGTCCTTAATCGTTTAGTATGGCGGGCTTCGGTTATTATAGCCTATATTGTAGCTCTTGTATTCAGTCTGCGTGGCCCATTGACTGTAAGGTGTAATCTAAAAATAAATCGGGATAGTGTCGTTTACAGCAAAGAAGGGGGAGAAAGAATGAAGTCCCACTCTGTCAGAATTACCGCGCGCCATATATCACCCATATCAGA